CCGCCGCCGCCGCCGCCGCCACACAACAAAGGCCGAGAGCGGCTGGGAGCGCCTGCGGGTGACTGACTGACTGCCCGCCTGCGCCCAGTACCTCGGTCTCTTCTCTCCAAGTACTCGGCCGCTTCCAGGAGAATTAACAGAGAGTTCAATTCCATGGCTGCCTGTGCCGAGCCGAGCCCCGAGCCCCCCGTCGCCCCGCGTCGCGCACCGCGCCGAGTTCACGCGCGGGGGACTTCCAAGCCCCCGGTTATAAGGCACCTCTCTCAACCTACATTTGACACACAGGCGACGGGCGGCCCGCGCCGCCAATAGGGAACGGCGATTCGGCGCGGGGGCGGGACGCGGGGCGGCAGCCGGGCCAACCGGCAGCCAGCGCACCCCCCCTTTTCCCCTGGCTGGGGCAGGGAATGTTGACAGATCCCCATCTCCCCCTCCGATTGGCTGGCCACTATAGTAACAATTTAGAAGCCGAAGCTTAGCAACAGCACGTGGTGGCCCGGCCCCCGCTCTCGCTGAGTGGCCGGCTTCTTGCATGTTAAGCAGGCAGCCGCCGCCGATTGGCGTGCGGGGCGCCATGCAAATGAGGGCGGGGAAGGGGCCAATGGGGTAGGAGACGCGTGCCGTGCGGCAGGAGGCGGGGAGGCAGGAAGGGGGGGAAGCCAATGGGCGGGCGGAGGCGCGGCGTTGCCGTGAGGAAGAGGCAGGCGGAGGGGCGGGGCGGGCCGAGGCCCCGCCCCCGCCCTCCCACGCCGCCGCGCGCGACACGCTCGCCGGCCTGAGGAAGGCATCGGCCGGTGCCGGAGCAGTTACTAACGTTAACGGCAAACCCACCGCCGGGAGCGCGGGCTTGCTGAACTGAGGGGGAGGGGGGAGGAAGAGGAGAAAAACACGACAAAAAAAGGAAAAAGGCGGGGGGGTGGAGGGGCCCGGGCGCCCCGGCACGCCGCGGCAGGGCCGGAGCCAGGCCTGGGGAGCGCCGACTCCTGTGAAGAAAACCCGCTGCCGCCATAACCGCGTCTGCTCGGGACTCCGCTGAGTCCCTGCCCGGCCTGGCGTGCCCCCCCCCCGGCGCTGGGCACTGCCCCTCTTCTTCCTCTTCCTCCTCCTTCTCCTCTCTCCCCATTACGGGCCCGGGTCAGCCCTCCACCCCCGCGGCCTCCCCTCGCTGGGCACTACCGCTCCCCAGCGACTCCCTCCCGGGACTGCCCGCCCCCTCGCCGGCGCTCTGCCAACGGTCCCCGGCCGGGCGCTGAGGGAAGGGGAAGCTCCGCCCCTCCCCGGGAGGGCCGCGCATGCGCGCG